ATTTAGATTTATATGGCCACCCATATAAATGAAGAATGAAAAGAAGAATGAAAATACAATATAAATGCATGTATAATTAAAACAAAAACAAAATAAAAAACCCATTCCAACCAGTTAACACAAGTGACTCCCAGTGAAATTGAGTTTTGCCTGAGAAGAGTCTATAACATCCTCCAGCCAGCCAAGCTAATGTTTGGGTAGGAAGTACATGATTTTTTCCTGCTAGCACAGACCATCAGGAGTTTTGATTGCAGGGGGATATGAAAGTAATACATAAATAAATCATTCTTTTCCACCTCAGCTGGAGAGAATTTATGCGCCTCTGTGTGTATGAATATATGTACTGTATACCTATTCCTTAATTTACCATTTAAGATTATTTATGACTTTGAAGCCAAAAGTTCACCTCCTGTGCCAGATATGTCCAAAAATGTATAAACTTAAACAGGAGCATCAAAAAGTGACTGTAGTAGTTATGAAGATGTGATCGGAGCCCAGTCCTTTTTTATGCCTATTGCCACACACAATGAACACAAAAAGGGGTTGTGTTTTTTATGATATGGTCACAGTTGCTATCTTGATTTTTCTTTCACCCTCCCTGCAAAGACTTCAGAATTTAGGTTACAATCATATGCATGCTTAAACGTATATGCCTCATGGACTATGTTCAAAGCAGCTTATGCATCCAAAATCACTATGTTGTTCAACCATATTTGAAACTCTAAAGTAATGGGAATTTTAGAATAACGTATCATGTGTTTAGAATCTTCTGTAATAGAGACCTGCTTATTTATGGGTTCTTCTTTCTCTTTAATTTCCCAAATAAACTGGATCCCCCTTAATTACATTTCTTAATATTAATTGCTTAGTCAAAAGTATAAAACATTTCCTTTCCATGCTCTTTACTGTTACTTTTGAAACAATTTTAAAGTTTTTAATGGTTCCATATGGCCTATTCTGCTGGAAGGAGACAGGCTTCTGTTTATGTTACCAGGACAACTGTCAAAAATTATGTTGTGTAGAGTTTAATCTCTGAATAATTCCGTAGCTATGTGTTACTCGAACTAAGGATGAAATATGACACAAAACTCTCAACTCTGTTTAGGCTGATACCGTTTAATAATCTGATTTATTGTATTTGTTAGATTACATTTGTTTCCAATCAAGATCTATTTGGGAATATATATGTTTACTAATGATTATACTATGCAGTGTTTCAAATTCAGCATCTAGAGGTGCTTTGGAGTGCATGAGAAAACAGTCACAGCACCTGTCTGCAACATTTTAAGGCAGCTTTGATTTTTCTGATTTCCAAGATCTTGTGACTGCCTTCTGAAGCTACTACATACTTCTGGGAAAGGGCACAGTTACTTGAGTTATCTCAGAGAGGTGCTACATGTGAACTGTGTGCAGTCTAAAGCACTTTGAACCCCAAACACTGGATTAACCCCAAACACTGCAAAACTCTACTACACTGAATGCAGGGTGGTGTGATGGTTGTAGGTGTGAGTACAGGCCACAAATCCCTTTTTTCCAAAGCTGTTGTAACTTTAACCCAGAGTTAAATGGATGTAAGTTAAGGACCACCTGTTGGTAACCAGTTCACTTGTTTGTTTTGCCTTTATGTGTTACTAGCAACACAATTCTAGATATGTCCTAAGATTTTGGAGAGATTTGTTTTCAGATAATGATATTTATTGGAGAATTACAAACTACAGCTAACTGATTCAAGTTTCAATTGTACAGTTGCTCTATTCTGTCTTCTCTTTGAAAAGAAGGGACTCTTTCTGCACTCCAACTTGGTGAGAATCCAGTGATCTAGTCAGTATTCTCTCTCTCTCTCTCTTTCTCTCTCCAGCTGTTCAAAAGGAGTCTGCAAAATTTGGTTTAGTCAATAACCCACCCAAATTACCTCATTTCCCCTTTTTATAGTCCATTGTCCATTCATATCGTACAACCAAGTATGTGAGTTTTTGTTTTCTGGTCAGCACTTGAAGCCCTAAAGTAGCCTAGGACTAGTTGATTGTCCTCCCCCCCCCCCCAAATCCCTGATACTCTAAACATTTCTGAATCTGTAATGCTGCCTTGTTTTGGGGTTTTAGCTTTCATATAATGCATTACTAGTGGACAGAGGATTGTTTAACCATTCTAGTCTTTTGTCAGTTAAATGTTCTTATCCTACACAGTCTTGTCAGTGTTTATCATTACCTTCTTGGTTCATTCTCTTTCTTTCTCCAGCGCATTGAACATACTTGTTTATTTTTGATCCCCAAACGTCTTGCTTATTAAGGGAAGTGTTTTACTTTCAAAATTGCTTTTAGTTATACCGTAATTATTTTATATTTACACTGTCATGTGTTTTATTCCTTTTAGATTCATCTTTAGATTTAAGACTTCTATTTATTTTGCGTTAGTTATTGACTGCAATAAGTATTGATTTGATGCAAAAAGTAAATGAAAGTTTAGTGTGATTTCATATCTCTCTACTTTGCTGCAAACTTGTCTGATTTTTTTTGGCATTTCTCTTTCCCTGTATAACTCTAATTTTCCTTTTAAGATTGTAAGCAAAACATTGCCTGCATAAGAAATTAGTTTAGTGGTGCTTCCTGCACAAAACTTTGAAGGACTGCTTGATTTTGCTGAAATATCATACAGGGCACCTATTTAAATAGATTTTTGAAGATTTCATTGCTTCTAAAAGCGAAATGGCCACATTGCTTCTCTCTGCAGTGCTCTGGACTTCCTCTGCAACCTCTGTTGACACTTCCAATAGCAGAAGATGATTTTGTGATTTGATTTAATTCAAATAATTTAATGTAATTGATTTGATTTAAGATGCCACCTGACTCCAAACAAGTCTGGGCAGTGCACAGCATAACAAAACAAAACAAAAAAAAATAGAATACCACAACATGGGGGGAGGGGGGACCCAAGTATTGTAAGTAAAAAGCAGATAAAGAGCAAAATGATTGTGCTATGTCAGGGGTGGGGAACCTTGGCTCTTTTATGACTTGTGGATTTCAACTCTCAGAATTCATATTGATAGTCCCAATTGTGGGACTATCCTCTTTCAGTTATGGGAATCACATCATCTCTATGCCTGGTAGTAGTGAATTGTGGATGCTGTCCAATTCTATATACTAAAGTAGGAGTATTGCAACTGTTAACAATAATGCTAAGTTTAATGCTCATAATATCCCCTCTGAAACAAGTTTGTCTGTTTAAATGGGTGCACTGCATGATCACAATTGATTGCCCCAAATTTCCATTGCTAAGCGAGAGAGTTGTTAAATGAGTTTTGCCTGGTTTTACAACCTTTCTTTCTACAGTTGTTAAGTGAATCACTACAGTTGTTAAGTTAGTAACACAGTTGTTAAGTGAATCTGGCTTCCCCATTGCCTTTCCTTGTCAGAAATTTGCAACTGCAAATTTCACTCCAACTGTCATAAATATGAGCCAATTGCCAAGTATCTGAATTTTAATCACTTGACCATGGGGAAGCTGCAATAGTCATAAGTGTGAAAATAAATCATAAGGCACCTTCAGTGCTGTTGTAACCTCGAATGGTCATTAAATGAATGGTTGTAAGTTGTAAGTCGAGGATTCCTTGTACAGTTATATTGGCAACAATAAAAAGTGCCGTTTTTCCAGATAGTATTCAACAGTACAGTTTAATCTTGTGCCCTGGTATATTCCCTTGGAGTCTTCTTAACCCGGCCCAAGCCTGATTCTCTTCCAAGCCCAGACATATATTGTTGCAAATAAGATACTTGATTTTTTTGACTGGGTAGTTTTCTCCCTTTATAAATAGTTTTTAGTTACTTTAGCCCAGTTTGCTTTGTGTCTTTAGATCTAACTGTTAAAAGATGATGAAATGCATGTGAAGATCTCATTACTGAAAGAATGTCAGTAAACATAAATTATAAATCCTTCATGAGCCAAGAAGAAGAAAACTAAATGGAGGAGAGAAAAAAGATTGCATTTATTATCTCATGTTGATAAGTGTTTATACAATGGGAAAAAAACAAAACTCTTGGGAATCTCACTATAAAATAGTCCAGTTGGTTTGAATTATGTTTCCATGTGAAATATGGTGTTTCTATATTTCTGTTTTTCTTTCAATTAATGTTGTGGGAAAGTGAACTGCATTTTATAAGTGTTAGATAATTGTTCAGGTTTGAACATTTAAACAAATTATGTTGAAATGAGTATTCTCACTGAACCTAAAATGGAATTTACCAATGAAGTCATATTGGGAATATGAGTAAAAGAAAATTAAAGTAGATATGTTTACATGTTAGGCAACATATGAAGTGTTCTGAGAGTTTAAATGATTTTAAAATATTTCTGGAATTTATTTTTTAAAATATTTATAGCAATAAATGATATATATATATATATATATAAAATGATGTTAATGAGGGGAAATTATTCACACTTCTTACAAATGGTGTAAAGTAAAATATCATTTTAAAATATGGTTTTAAAGAAAGAGCATGACTTTGTAATAGAAAAAAATGTATTATTTAAAAAGCATAAAACTTTATAGTTATAAAATGTTACTAAACGTTAAGCCTTAGTGCTTTTCTTTAAAATTAGCAATCTATCATTGTGTGTCCAATACCAGTATAAAAAGGCTAGTTTTAATTTACTCATAACTAATTTTACATATATTGACAATGAAAGTGAAAATTTCTTAAATACAGATAAAATATTGATTGCTTGATTGTGTACACAGTTACTTAGTGTTATGCACCCCAATAATAATGTTACCATGATTACACTGGATATAAAAAATCTACACACCACTATTAAAATCTCAGGTTCCTGAGATGTAAAAAAAAATCAGACTAAAATAAATCACTTCAGAATTTTTTTCACCTGTAATATGACATATAAGCTGTACAATTCACTTGAAAAACAAACTGAAACATTTTAGGGGGGAAAATAATAAAAAAGTACAATAATGTTTTCTGCTTTCCTTTTTTCTTTTTAACAAGGTAAGCTCTTGGGTGACATGGTTGATTCTGACTGCTGGTTCTATGGAGGAAAAGCGAGAAGTTTTCTCTTATGTAATACATGTGGCAAAATGTTGCTGGAACATGGGCAACTACAATGGTGTAATGGAATTCTTGGCAGGGCTCAGGTACTTGAACTCATTCTTGAAATGATAGCAACTCGGATAGATTATGTTACAGCATCTGTTATATACCATGTGTCTATTTAAAAATAAATAAATGTTGAACATCACTCCATCAGTCATTGTGTTGAATGTTCTGTTAAATAGCATCCTTTATCTCACCCACTGAGTTTATGATTGTAAATGTTTTGGCAGAATTGAATAAGATGGATGACAGAGGTTATACCGTTTAAAAAGAGGTATTTTTCTAGAAAACTCAAGGGGCCTTGTTTATCTTATGGAGTGATAAACAAGTAAATCAGGGGAAAAACTTTTAATCTCTTAGTACCACATTTAAACATAGTTAAGAAAAAGTGCTAATTACCACCCTGAAAGAAGGACATACTTTAGATAACTTTAGAATATATCTTATCAAACCCACCATATTAAAAATCCTTGCTCCATTTTTCATTACTATTCATGATTTCTCATACAACCATATCTTCTCTCAATCATAATCAATAAAATATGCACATTGGAAAATAAGAGTAACTTGATGAGACAGGGCAGAGGCAAGATCTAAGCTGTATGGCAGGGTACAAAGGAAGCCTTATACTTGAAAATATTTGTAGTTCTTCATTCTATCCATTTATCATAACATTTCATAGCATCTTGATCATGTATTCTATATTTGAAGAGGACTTTTTCCTGCTGGTTTGTAATAAAACATAATGATGTGTATGATTTCATGAAATTATATGATGATGAATCTAATCTGATATGCTTACAGTATATAGTTTACATTAAACACAATCTTCCTTCTGCTGTTGGCTTATCAGTTTTTATTTTGAGCAATTTTTAATTCAAGTGTCATTGTACATAGAATTAACTGAGTAAAATGAGAGTAAATCAGGAATATCTACTCATTCTCCTTACATACAAGTAGTCCTCAACTTATGACCACAATGGAGCCCAACATTTCTATCTCATTGCTAAGTGAGGTTTGTCCCATTTTATAATCTTTTTTTTAATAATCTTTCTTGCTACCTTAAGTGAATCACTGCAGTTGCTAAGTTAGTAACAAAGTTGTTAAGTGAATCTTACTTCCCCATTGAATTTGCTTGTCAGAAGTTCGCAAAAGGTGATCACAAGACACCGAGATACTGCAGCCGTCATAAATATGAATCAATTGCCAAGTGTCTGAATTTTGATCACGTGACCATGGAGATGTTGCAACAATCATAATTGTGGAAAATTGGTCATAAGTCACTTTTTTCAGTGCCATTGCAACTTCGAAGTCACTAAATGAACTGTTGTAAGTCAAAAACTAACTGTATTTAGCATGTACTAGGTACATGTACTAGGTACATGATTGCTAGGTACTTATATTACCAGACCACACTAAGATTAGGTAAAAGCGCACATGTCCCAGACAGAACACTGTCCTCCAAGAAATAAAGTAGACATATCTTTTGGGAAATTTACATGGTTAATATGATTAATTGTGTAATTGTAATTGTACAGCAGCAATGATATTTTCATAACTGCATTATGACATTATTTGTTATTACTGCTAACAAGATATGTACAAACAAGCTAGTAAATATTCTTATGTTTTCCAAATAGGTCAAGAAAAGTTTTAAAAATGTGGCAGTTCATGGACCAATCTGATATTGAAACAATGCGAAGCTTGAAAGATGCTATGGCACAGCATGAATCATCATTTGAATATAGAAAAGTTGTCAACAGAGCTCTGAATATCTCTGGCTGTAAAGTAGTTCCTTTTTGTGGTGTATTTTTAAAAGAGCTCTATGAAGTTTTGGATGGGGCTGCAAGCCTCATCAGACTTTGTCCTCAGTATAATTCTCAGGATGAAACACTAGAGGTAATTTAATGCGTGAGCAATCTTATCTAAGAGAGTTGTTATATTTCCATCATGTTTTACCTAAGTTGATGATATGGCAATGCATAAAAAGGTGAGGTCCATTTATAAGTGTGTCTGTGTGTTATTTGTAAAGGCATAAATATTTATTTATTGAAGCCTTTACAATTGCAATAATGTTTTATCTGATAAGTTTTCAAGCCATCTGCTAGATTAGGGGTCCCCAACCCCCAGTCTGTGGACCGGTACCAGGCCGCAGCATGCCAGCAACCGGTCCACACAAGCTAGCAGAGCCCCATCCGCGGGATGCAGGCAGCACACAAAACCACGCCCTCTCCGGTCCGTGGAAAAACCTTTCTCCATAGAACCAGTTCCTGGTGCCAAAAAGTTGGGGACCGCTGCGCTAGATAAAATTGCTCAGATTCTCTCCAACCTGAACTCTGATGTTAAGGCACATTCCATGGAAATGACCAAAGCACACTGGTTATAACTGGGGCAGTTTAATCATGTTGGTCCTGATGAAGTGGATAGGGTTCAGTCACCTGTGTATTGGACCCTTGTTCTTCCTCCTGGTTAACTAAGGGTATCCTAAGAGACAATCTGTGGTTGGATCCTGGTGGTGGTGAATTCATCCTTGAAAGAGGGGGTGATCTCACTGCTGCTTTCATAGACTGTGGTCTACCCACGCGTCAAGAAGCCATCTCTGTATTTAACTATTTTGGGTAACTTTTGACCCGTCTCCAATTTTCACTTCTTAAAGATGTTTTTTGAGAATGTGGTTATGCTGCAGTCTCAGAGAATCCTGAAAATTCTCTTCAGCTGGATTTCATGCTTAGGTATGCAATTGAAACAGCACTGATTGTACTTGTGGATGACCTCTGGCATAGGTGGTATGGGAGAGATCCAGCATATGACCCATTGTCTGTGGGGTCCATCAGGACTTAACATTCTCCACTGTCCTATTTAACATCTACAGTACATGAAGGACGTCCAAGGCATGGTCATACAACTTAATTTTGTGTGCCAGTTACATTCCTTCCTGGACTGGGATGCACTGCTCCTCATCCCTCACACTTTAGTTACTTCCCAACTGCAATGTGCTCTTTATGGGTCTGCCGTGGAATACTTTACATGGAGCTGCAAGCTTTTCACAAAGCATTAAAACTAGATGTACTCCAGAACATGCGAGTTGGAAGATTAAGTAGCCTGTGCATTGTTGTTGTCTTATTGCTTTTTATGTGTTGTTGATATTCTTTTTTATTCTAATGTGTTGTGAGCTGACCAGAGTTGCAATTGCAAGATGGGTGGCCATATAAAAAGCTTTAATTAATAAATAAAATGAATAGTTGTGTTATTCTGTACTAGAACTACTAGGTTAAATGGCAAAATCATCTTTTCTTCCATGTAAGTCTGTGAAGATTCCCTATACCAAACAAGAATTAATTAGTAAGGTTATTAAATGATTCTCTCAGATACACACACTCACACATTCAATGTAATCCTTAAAATCTGCTTTAGTTCTTATACAAAATAGTCTATTACTAGATTTTTTAAATACGTTTTTGGATGAGTTATAGTTATAGTTTCTTGGATCTTTCCTTGGTTTCTAAATTAGCAAAAATGCAATAAATATATTCCCATGTTCCTCAGTGAAATACTCTGCTTTTGTAGTTATTTCCAGATAAATGCCCTTTCAGATTTACTATAACAGCAATATCAGTGTTATCAAGAACAGAGACTGTTCTGTGAGCTGAACTGAAGTGCCAAAGCAAAATTAACAGTAGACATTCCAAGCATGCAAGTACATTTTGGTATGTGCCAAAATGTATTCCCATTGAAAGTCTATCCCTATTTATCTAAGAATAGACCCCATTCAATTCCATTGGGCGTATCTGTGAAGTTGTATGGATAGGAATGAACAATGATAGCAACAGCATTTAGACTTCTATACCGCTCCATAGTGCTTTACAGCACTCTCTGAGCAGTTTACAATATCAACATATTGCTCCCAACAATCTTGGTCCTCATTTTACTGACCTTGGAAGGATGGAAGGGTGAGTGAACCTTGAGCTGGTAGTAGATTTAATGCGATTCCAGTTGGCTGGAAACATTAAGGGATAATCTATGTTATCTGGTTCACAAAATAACTACTTGTACCCCTAAGATGTCTAAAATATATATTTTTGTATAATAATCTTTAGCTGTGAATAGTTAAAAAGTGAATACTTAGTACTGTATCTTCTCTTTTTTAGTTTGTTGCAGAATATAGTGGTCAAGATAATTACTTGCAAAGGATAGGTCAAGATGGTCTACATGATATAGAAAAAGAATCTATGGCTAATTACATATTTCAAACAATTCGAAGCTGTAATCGAAGCTTAGAGTCAGAAGATGGAGAAGATAACTTTATTGAATATGAAGGTGGAAACTCCAGAAAAAATTCTTTGAAGGAGAAAACTCTCTATCAGTAAGTTTTTTAAAAAATATTTATTTTATTTAGATAAAATAATAATAATAGTAATAGTAATAATAATAATAGCAGTGCCTGGAGATAGCAGAGTAGACGAGAAAGAACTGGAGAAGATAACAAAATACAAAGACCTACAAATAGAAATAGAAAGACTGTGGCAAAAGCAAGCAAGGGTAGTACCAATAGTAATAGGCACCTTGGGTGCAATCCCAAAACAACTGGAGCACCACTTGAACACCATTGGCATTGACAAATTTGCCATTAGTCAATTGCAAAAGGCCTTACTAGGAACTGCTTCCATCCTGCGACGATATCTGTAATAACATCAAACATCCACATCTGCCTATCCCAGGTCCTTGGTAAGGACTCAATAGGTAGACAAAATGACAAATCCAGTCTGAACATCTGGCTGACTGTGCGATGATGCACGATGATAATAATAATAATAATAATAATAATAATAATAATAATAATAATAATAGTAGTAGTAGTAGTAGTAGTAGTAGTAGTAGTAGTAGTAGTAGTAGTAGTAGTAGTAGTTGGAAGGGACCTTGGAGGTCATCTAGCTCAACCTCCTGCTCAGGCAGGAAACCCTATACCAGGGGTAGGCATCCTTGGCTCTTTTATGACTCATGGACTTCAACTCCCAGAATTGAAGTCCATGAGTCATAAAAGAGCCAAGGTTGCCTACCCCTGCCCTATACCATTTCAGACAAATGGCTGTCCAGTCTCTTCTTTAAAACTTCCAGTGTTGGATCATTCACAGCTTCTGGAGGCAGGTTGTTCCACTGATTAATTGTTCTAACTGTCAGGAAATTTCTCCTTAGTTCTAGGTTGCTTCTCTCTTTGATTAGTTTGCATCCGTTGCTTCTTGTCCTGCCTTCAGGTGCTTTGGAGAATAGTTACAGCATTAAAATGATTATGATGTAAGTTTTAAATGTAAGACATAATTCATATAATTGTCCCAAAATGTCCAGTCAATCATGATCTTAAATATTCAAAATGGCATCATCCTTATACAACATACAAATATTGAAAAAAATGGAGAACCCTTGAAATTTGTAACAATATATACCCACAGAATTCAACTCAATAAGAATGAATTTCATAGGCATGAACTGTTGTTACAACTCCCATTTGTACTTTTTTTTATATTTCTACATATTTTTTCCTTCAGAAATATCAAGTAATGAGATCTTACATTTTTAAATGTGGTTATATTGGCAACCATTATCAGAAATATCTCTAAATCATGACTCAGTATGGAGATATTTGAGGCTGGAGAAGGCATTTGGCCTAAATTCTTAGAAGTGACCTTCAGATCCCTTTAAAAGATGGTGCCCACTTCTGTCTCCTAGTTTTCTCTACTTTTATATATGGGAGTAGAATATCCCAGTACTTGAAAGTACTGATGAAATCATGATGCTCAACAGGAAACAAGGTTGCATATCTCTAGTTTAGAGTTTGGTGGGTGTGTTCCTCCTTCCAGTTTTAGTTTTCCTTGTGTGGTTCCAGTTCTTGTTATTTGGGTAATTTTACAGGGAATCCTAATCACATTCTCTCCTTGTCTAAAACTCTTCCATATTTTTTCATCTTTTTTTTCTTATTAAGAAAGAACCCTTTGGAAGGGGAAGATAGAACTAATTCCTTGTTTAGAAGCATCAAGGCTCAGAAAATAATAGGTTTCTATGTTTCTTCCTCGGCTCTAGCAGAGCCATAAAGCAACTGGATTAAGTATATAATTAGATGAGAGATTGCTAAAAAATACTAGGGCTGTGGGTTAATTTAGGAAACAGAGAAAACAGCCCAGAAGAAAGCAATGGTAGACCACAGTCACCTAGACCAGCGGCCCCCAACCTTTTGGGCACCAGGGACCGATTCTATGGAGAGAAATTTTTCCGTGGACCATAAGGAGTGTGGTTTTGTGCTCTGCCTGCATCCCACAGATGGGGCTTCGCTTGTTTGCGTAGCCTGGTGTCTGGCATGCTGTGGACCAGCACTGGTCCATGGACTGGGGGTTGGGGACCCCTGACCTAGACAATGGGATGGGTGGTATCTAAATTTGATAATGAAATAAAAAATAAATAATTTTGTATTGTTGCCATGAAAACTAAATGTCCCTTCAATCACAAGTTGAGCTCAAGGACATTAATGTAGGGTTTTTTGAAGCCTGGATATTATAGTAAATTAACAGTTACTTTAAAATGGAAGCAAAAATTTCTGAACTTAGCCTCAGAAAAGGAAGAGAGGTGCTATGAAGTAAAAGGCCTTTTTAAAAAAAACTAAATTATACTTTGATCTTTAGCATTACATTCAGCTGAGCTGAATATGTCATTTTAAAATGTATATTCTCAATTGTAATATATGAGAATACATAACTTACAACAAGGGTATACTTGAACTTCTAAATCCAGTCCTTTTGTCAAAAATTATGTGTGGAATTGTGGCTCTAAAATTCTTGGAATCTTTCTCTTTTAAGTTTTATATTCCTTCATGATGTAATTACTTTCAGGGAAAATTATTTCATTTTGTACATGAAACTTTTAGAAGCCTACAGATGCCACTAGGACATAAGTCAGCAATGCCAGGAATAACATCATGCCATCTCTGTTGATCTTAGCTTAGAACATTGTATCCTGCTGGAATAGCATTCTAACTCAGTCAAAATAAAGGTTATTTATTATTGTTCCTAATCCCATTACTTTTAAGGACATGTTATCTGAGATTCTGGAATTATTTTAGGAAGAGCTTATCAGAGCTAGTAAACTCTTTGAATATTCACACTGGAGCACTAGAGCACAGCCATTCATATGGGAAGGTTGTTATTCTTTGTTCTCCCAATTCTCTCTGTGTGGTGAGAAAACAGCTGAGTCCAGAACACCGTGCACCTAAATGAATGTTCTGAGAGAGCAATGAAAACTTTTTTAGATTACACTGCTTCAACTATATCTCCAAGAAAAATTATAACCACTATTATTTCTCTTTTCCTGGTGAATTGAGAGTCGACAGCTATGATATAGAGAGATAAAATTTCTCCTACGCGTATGACCCAAGGACAGAATTCTGTTCATCTGTGAAATTCAACTGGGTGGTCTGTGCAAGTTGCTATCTATCAACCTAACTTTATTCTAAATTTATAAACTGCTACTGATGCTATGATCTTCTTTGAACAGGAAACTAATATGTCTATCCGTCTCTATATCTATATCTATCTCTATCTCTATCTCTATCTATCTATCTATCTATCTATCTATCTATCTATCTATCTATCTATCTATCTATCTATCTATCTATCTATCTATCTATCTATCTATCTATCTATCTATCTTTCTTCCAGGTAACATTAAATACCTGGGTTTCAAAGCACACAGCTATTAAATTATTTCATGAAATGCATTTATTCATTTATTGACTTTATTTGCTACCCATCTCATAGCAAGCAACTAAAATAAACCTTTTGTTGTTCTTGCAAGCTTCTGAAGGCAATTCTGCCGTATAATTATAATAAAATTATAAAATAATTACATTACAAAATAGAAACATTGCTTCCAGGAAACCTTTTCATGTGCAATATGCTTATTCATCCAAATTCACAGAGCATCCAGATGTCACCATCTCTTAGTCATCAGTTCATGTTTCATCCTCTTTTTTCTGTTGTTGTTCCTGTTAACAAGGACAATCTGTTTAGAGAGACATACTCATAGCAGTAATTTTGTCAGGGTTTTGGTAGTGGCTTTGGAGGCAGTCACCATTTTTCCTTCCTCCTGCCATTGCCCTGAAAATGTGACTTGTGAGCATGCAAACATGGCAATTTCAATGAAATTTTAAAACTAACTTTTTTCCTCGATTCTACCTACTTTTCCTTCAATCGTAGAAGGGACATATTTTTGTTTTTATACAGAGATGGGTGATGTATCTGCAAGTAAGCAGTTTTTCTTAAAAAGTACACGTATAGTGGTACCTTGGTTGTCACTTATCCTTACCGGAACGTGAGTTGACAAAACACCCGAAGATGCTGTTCACTCAGGAAATAATGGTTTAATCAGGAACAAGCTTTTGACGTTAGCAAAGACCTGCAGCATGAGGCTCTTTGCAAATAAAGTTTGCGCTGGGAGCTACTGCCTCCCAGCGTTGTTTAAATACACTCCAAAGTTCACCCCACCCTCCATCAAGCGACACCACCACACCCCCGCCCTTCTACTCCACACCCTCCTATTACCCAACCAGCATCTTCCAGTCAATTGCCCCATTAGTTCCTCCGTCTGGAACCTTCCCGCCGACGCCCTGCGCTTCTGCGGCAACGCCCTGTGCTCTCCGGGCTGCCGCCCCTCAGCTGATTGTCAGCTACCGGCTGAACAGCTGCTCGTCGGCTTGCTGACGGCGTGCGCATGCGCATCGTTCCTTCTGCGCATGTGCGGCGTTCCCGGCATTGTTCGTCATTATTTTCTGCTACTGGGGACGCTCATCGGAGGCTTGCGGAGGCTTGCTGACTGCGACGCTGGTTCTTCCCCTTCTTGTGTGTCGAGCCCGGGAGGGCTTGACATTGGTACTCAACTGCTTTGAAACTCATTGAATTTGGTACTCAACACATTTTAACATGAAAATTTTGTCCCAGTACTCATTGTTTGTTTGGTACTCAACGCACAAGCTAGAACATGTCCATGTCTGTTGCCTTGTGACTCACTACATTATTCCTTATGGGAAAAATTTGTTCGGTAGTCATTGTTTTTGGTACTCATCCCACCTCCCAGAACCAATTAATGATGAGTTCTGAGGTACCACTGTATATGGCAATATGTGAACAATAAATTGTACCCAAAGAAATTGTCACCCTTTTAACAAATAATTTCCAAATTATTGCTGTACAAGGGGAAAAAATCATTGGGAAAAATAGTTTATTTCATAGATAGAAAAGAGTTGTATTATCATAGGAAGGTCAGCGATAAATGTGGTAGTTTAGGAATACTTTATAGGCCTGCAATCTTTGGGGGAGGGGTTGAGTAGTTTTATAGTCTTGCAGGTCTTTGTGAGTAGGTGTGTGAAACTTTTGCATTCCTGTTCACAACTATCATTGTATTCAGGAAAGGGACTGGGGTGGGAGAGATGAAAGGCTACTTTATTATGATCAATCCAATGAAACCGATGGTATACACCCGACGTCTTCATAATAAAGCATAAGAACTGCAGGAAAGAAAGTATATTTACATCTGGACATGGCCAAAATCAAAATAAAATCTCAGTAACATCAACATTGAAAAGTAGCATTATAAGCAAGCAGTAACAAATTAATCATTAGAAGTGGCTATAAAGCCAAGCCTTTTAAAGCTACTAAAACATATAAAGAAAGACCATTTGACTGGTGTAAACTATTGTGCTGGCATTAATGAAATCTGGCTCAGAGACAGCCCAATCAGGAATCAGTACTTTTGGAATTTTCTTCAAAACAGACCAATGAAAGAACCAACTAGAAATCAGCTTTATTACATTATTACTGTTTTACATGTACTGTAAATCATGGATCAATTTACTTGTTTGATTTGATTAGATTTTTTTTTGAGATTTCAAGCCCAAAGTTTTATCACTTTTTTAAAAAAAAAGGTTTGGTTTTTTTAGTGGTATAAGTTACATTTTTGCTTGAAATACTCTTATTTAAGATTTCTACCTGGATGAATTCTTTATAATGCTGTCTTCTATTCTTCTCTTGTGTTATATTTCACAACCAAATAAATGGACTAAAATGTCCATTAAGTTAGGCAGCTATAGTGAATTTGAATAAATAAATAACTTAAGGTAAACAATTATTCCCTCATTATGAAGACTAATAATAATTACTTGGTTGTTTTGAATGATCACCTAGTCCTTCACATAATTCATCCACCTGGTCTTTAGCAAAGTGGTAGTTTTTCTTTTATTTGAAGTAGCTATGGAACAGTTCTAGGAAGTGGTGGACAAATTATTTGAACATAAATAAAAGGTGGTGTCTTGCACTGAAAACACAGTTTGAAATGGTTTTGAGCAAAAATTTGTAGAAATGCAAAGCCATGGCTATAAATACATAAACGAAGAACACTTGAAGAACAATAATTACAAGTAATCATCCTGAATTTCATGATTACCAGAGGTAATAAAAGGAAGAAGAGGAAATGATGGTGAAACATAGTGAAGACTATAGTTCATCTTTGTCTATATTTACATAGCTGCCCAGCTGTGAAAAGAAACATCACAAACAACCTGAACTCATATAATTTTAAACAATGAAGGTTATATTAATATTCAGTTAATCAACATTTCTGCAGGAAACACAAATGCCTTTTTCTAAATGTGCTCATTCCCTTAATATGTATGTGAAGTCATCTTTGCTTCCTGACAAAAGCGCTTCTAATGTAATTATCGTCTGGCATCAGTTCTTTCTGGGCATATGAACAATATCTGATGTTTGGCTGATGATCTTGTCCTTTGACATCTAAAAAGTGTTTGAAAAGCCTTGGATTGTTGTTTAACAATTTACAGCTTTTTTGGGGGGAATTAGCTTATTATTAATTGAAGCTTATGTTTTCTTTGAAACATTATATTTCTTGGATACTAAACTTGAAAGGCTTTCCCTAAAAATAAATAGACATTTTCAGGGATTAGAAGAAGATAAAGAAAAATGGAGGCAGTATACTGTATCTCTAAACTGGATTTGGTAATTACGTTCCAATTGGCTGGCTTTGATTTTTTTTTTACATTTTTTTCTTTGTTTCAGTAGAATGCCACTTAAAGTGCTACTAAACTGAACTTTATATTCTTTATCTTTTTCTCATTATTCAAATACTTGTTTTTCTCTCTCAGTCACAGCCGTTTTTGGTAAAATGAAGCAGCAAAACACATTCATTTTGATTGTATTGAAAATATTACTGCCTAAAATTTCATTCTTCAGCATTCTTTTACGGTAAACTAAAGTCTTTTTAAAAATTCTCAAATATGAGAATTGTTGGAGATTGAAGCAGTGATGTGTTTCAATGGAATAAAAATAACCATGTCATTCTCTGTTATAACTGTTCATTTCAGTTTCGACACATGTTTTTGATAAACAATGTTGATTTCTGTAGTAGTACATTTTTATAGCAATATACTTGGAATAATTTCTCCATACTGTAAAATGTTTAGTTGTGAGTCTTTGAAAAAACTTGCAATATTTCTTTACTTCAAATCCATAATAGCAATAGCACCTAGACTTATATACTTCCCCTCAGTGTTTTACAGCACTCTCTGAGCAGTTTACAATCTCAGCAAATTGCCTCCAACAATTGGACCTCCTCATTTTACCGACTTTGTAAGGATGGATGGCTTAGCCAGTCAGGATCAAACTACTGGCAGAGCCTCAATCCTGCATTCTAAACACTGTGCCACCACTGGTATAATGTAATAGTGCTTTTTGAAATCTATTTTCTAGTGCCATGCTTTGGGCTTATAAATATATGAATCATGTAATCATATTATTACAGACTTGTCCATCACTTATATGATATAGGTTGAACATTATGGCTTTGGCATGTATTGAATAATTTGTGATGCTGAACTGTTTTAAGTATACTTCTCAGATCTTTTCCGTGATTGCATTCCTTAAGCCATAGGAAGAGAGTCTTTTCTTGATTTTTTTTGTGTGCTCATGCGCACATGCATGTATACTTTCCACTTTTTTTTAAATGAGCAAGCATTTTAAATGAGCAAGAAAGAGAAAGAAAATCTAATGCATACATTTTGAACGGTGGTGTCTTATCAGTCCTCACTTCCTTTTGAATATACTTTTAATTTGCCTGAAATAATAAACATTTATTAACTCTACTATATTTTTTATTAAAAAAGCAAAACCAACATTGGTGACATAGGAATTTACTCATAAGAACTCTTTGGAAAATAAGCAGAATATAAATGTCTAAATAAATGCAATAATTTTATGATGTTATATTGTTTTTAATAAAATAACCCTTTTGTTACAAATGAAGCTCATTGAGAAAGTATGACTTTAAACATTAATTAATGTTAAAATATTTTACATATAACATATTGCAAGGCCATCATGCACAACTGTATATTACTTTACATAATTGCATGATGAAATAACAAGTGACATGCTGATCTTTGCAAATAAAGGCTCACTGTATCTTGGTTTCTACTCAGCTTAACAACTGGAGAGCTGTCAGATTCTGAAAATGACATATTTGAGCAGTCCAAAGAGTGGGCTACCCAGGCTGCTGAAGAACAACAAGAAGCTTTCGGCCATGGAATAGAGATAATACCCTGGTATGTACTGTCAATCAGAGCTGATGTCCATCAGTTCATGTTGCAAGGCGCAACCGTCATACGTTATGATCAAGAAACTCACTTATCAGCTCGCTGTTTCCTTCAGCTTCAACCTGACAATAGTACACTGATATGGACAAAGCCAACCATTGCTTGCTGTGCAAATTCTAAAATAAAACTTAACACATTAGGTAGCACCACTGACCTTGGAAAATTTCAGTTTCTTGGCAGTACTGGATTAAATGGAGTGGCCGAGGGTTGCTTAGATCTGCTGTCAGCGAAAGCTGTGTATATGGGACACTCCGGCATTGATATGCATGCGGTGTGCATCCAGAATAACCTTTTAAACATGACTCTTGAAGAGAATGGTATAACATTATTATATGGACTTCAAACTACTGAAAACAAATTGCTGCACTTTGTGGCTCCAAAATATACGGTTAAAATGTTGTTTCATGGATTGCTGGAATTAATTAATGCTATAAGGAAGATGAGGAGATTTCCTGATCAGAGGTTACAGTGGCTGCGGAAACAGTACGTCAGCCTCTATCAGGTAAAGTGAACTATAATTCTCCCTTTTCCTATCAAATATTTTTTTCCCCTGTTATTGTATTGTTGAATTCTGTAATCGTCTATTTTCCATTCCTACACTGTGTTCTTTTCTAACATGCCTGCACACAATTAAAAGAATATAAACTATTTCTCTTTAATTATGTAGGTTGTACATTTTAATAAAGTTGAATACATTTATTAGGAGGATGGCCGATACGAGGGTCCAACCTTGGCTCAAGCGGTTGAGTTATTCGGAGGGAGACGCTGGAGTACGAGAAATGCAAACTCGGGAAATTTGGCAAAAAGCATAGAGAAGCCAGGCGTGCAAAGAACCAACACTTTAGGAATCAGTGCAGCTAAGAAGAAAAAAAAAGCGCTCATGAGGGTAGGATCTTTTATTAGTTAATATTAGTACACGGATTATTTGAGATTTATTATGTTTTTACCTGTCAGAGTGAATTTTTACATAAATAAACCTTAGTTTAAATAAACCTTATTAAATAAACCTTAGTTCTTTAAATTTCATTTATTTGGAAGCAATGTAATTTTTCTTTTTTCTTTTTGTTTATATATATATAAACAGTATATATATATTTAAAAATGCCTAGCTTGACCCGCCAATGAATATTATTACTCATTCTGTTCCATATGCAACTTTCATAGCCTTTCACCAACTGGTTTGATTAGCTGCTCATAGAAATGTGTGACTTACAAAATAGAAAGTGGTTGAAATGTGTACTGTTTTTCTAAGATGTTTATTGAGAAAGTCACTGTTTCAAGGGTGAAAGTGGAGATGGCACTGATGATGAGATGGCAAGTCGAAAAGTAAGACCTCTTAAGGAAAATCGGAATAGAAGTGGTTCAGACCCTCAAGATATTGATGAACAAGAAGAACCAGGTAAAAATAATAATATTTTATTAAATGTATAATGCCACTCAACTCTCAATGACTGGGTAACTCACAGCAATCAAGGAAATTATAATAAAATCAATAAAAAGCTAAAAGATCGTGACCAGGACATCCTCAAGAGCTGTATGTGACACATACATACAGCCTTCAAGATTAACAATGTGAAAAATTGTGATGAATATCTAACTTTGGTTAATTTCAAATGAGAAAACCTCAGCCAAGAACTCCAAAACTGACTAAGCAAAACAAATCATAATTATAGTTAGCCATGACTGCAGATTTGGAAAAGTAGCAAACTGTGGTCACTAAAAGTGGGATACAATTGAGAATTCAATGCTGAAATAAGCAATACACATTGTAGCAGTTCCTCTCCTCCTCTAATACAGCTGCAAAGAGGACTTTGAAGATATTTTTTATATAAATATTTTATTAATTTTCTAATTTTCCTTGGTCCTAAGAGAGGACCAAGGAAGCACTGGATGGTGTAGTACTGGAACTAAACTGAGAAAGGTAATATGTACTACTGAATTACTAATGGACCTCTGGGTCCATTAGTAATTCAGTAGTACATATTACCTTTCTCAGTTTAGTTCCAGTACTACACCATCCAGTGCTTCCTTGCTCCTCTCTTCTTCTGGTGTTATGCATTTTTCACACTGGGCAAATGCAATTCTTGTTACTGTTAATACATATACAATTAAATATAGACATCTTCATCACATTTTTCTGGTATTATACATAATATCGATAGTGTCAGTTTATAATATCTTTTCTAGCCAGAACATATCTCAATTGTATTTGCACTTAAAATCCATTTGTTCAATCAATATTCTGTTTTTCCCGCTTTTAAATTTTTTAAATTTCCCATCAATATTTAAAATATCTCTTTCACTTATACTTTTCTCATAATAAATTATATTTGGGTAACCAAAAACTTCCCTTATTCAAACCCTTTAAAAATTTTCATATTTCCCATCTCATAACAAAGCATAATCCTATCCACATCCTTCTAATTATAATAATACTTTTATTTCTAACAGTTATCTATTTTCTTAATCATATTCAAACATCTGTTTAATAGTATAATAGGTCATCTAATAGGTCAAAACCTCTATTTTCTTCAGTTTTATTCTAGCTTTCTTCCTTTGCCAAATAACTTGCCAAGTCATTGCATTTGAATACTCAAGTAATTCTTCCTCTGTTTTTGTATATATTTTTAGAAGAACGTTCAACCCATTTATATTCATTAAACAGCCTCTGACCTTCTTCTTCAGTTTTTCTTTTCATTTCTTGTTTGTCAATATTCAGTATTTCTCCTAACAGCTTTATCATCCATTCGATCAGCTCTTCTTCCTTATCCTCAAATGTGTTCTGAGATCTTGACAAGTAAGATATCTCTTCCATTTCTAGTGTTATCACTGCATCTTCTAATTTTTATTTGTCTGTATTTGTCTGTTAATTCCTTCCTTTAGGTCCTCCATCTTTGGATCAATTTCTTCTAATTTTCTTTCTGTTTTCTGGGTTACTAGTTCCTTCTTTGTAGTCATTGTCTGGATTTGTAAGTTTAGATTAGAGAATTGTTCTTTTATCTCATTTGCGTTATTTTTAGTCTTATCATGAAATAAAACAATTGTCTCTTGGATTGATTTCAACATAGAAAGAATTTCTTTCTGAGATTCATTAACATTTCCTTGCTGGTATATTAAGCTGGGGGCTTCGGAGGCAAATGTTAAAGATGGTTTTTTACCATTTGTGGCTAAGTACGGAACACCCATTTTGTTTTTGTATGTTGTAGTCTTTATAGTCCAATAGGGTCCCCAAAACAGATAAGCAGCCCAAGAGTTTTTTTCCCCTTTCCCAGCTGCAGTCTGTAAAAGTGAAAGTTTCCAGGAACAACAAAGAGTCTTATCTAAGTTCGGGCTTCAAGCCAAGTTTCCTTTAAGCATAATAAATTGTAGTGCCATGATTTGCCACTAGATGTCACCATCTTGACACCATCTTCTAGCTTTCCAAATCCAAGCCTATTTTACAGACTTTCAAATATCTTTTCTAAAAAAAGTCTCAAAAGTACTTTTAGTCCCCAAATTTCAAAGCTATATATCTGTATTAATTCCAAATTTATCTTTTAGTTTTCTCTATTTTCCCCCAAAGCAATTAATTCACCGCTTTTCTTTTCCTGAGGGAGCGGGGCAAAAACTTCCCTTCCCTCTCTCATTGGGGAGGATTCTTTGCTTTGGGCATTCTTTTTTCCAGGAAAGTAGTATTAAGGTCATAAAAAAAGGATAAAGGCTCACCTAGTTCCATCCATGTTGCTCAAAAATTGCTAGTTAGTGCTTATCTTCGGTTGTCAGCAGCTTCTGACTGGCCACACGAATGTAGCCAGTCTTTCCCCCGTTGGTTTGGAGGGCTTCCTTGGATCCAGCAGAAGCTCTGCCACCCCTCTGCGATTGACAAGGGTCCCCTCCTTCTTCGTCGCCTCTCCATGGCGACCTTTGACCCTTTTTAGGGTCCTCAGGGGGGCGAAATCAAATGTGGAAGACGGAGCCCTATCTTCCTGCATCCATTACACCGCAACACCTAACTGGAAGTCCAGAAGTCATTTTTGTTGTATTCCAATCAACTGCTGCTTATCATTTCATCCAAACTGTTTAATTTTAATTACAGTTTGTTAGAAACAAACCAGCTTCAAACTATGGGCTAAGCTGATAGCTTGTTGAAATGTATGGTTATTAAGGTCTACTATAGGTAAGTAAAAAATGCAAATTACCTGTGGCCAGAATGATGGCTGGAGAAAAGAGGACACACGTAGATTAATGCACAGATTAATAATGACGGGAAATGAAATATCTGCAAGAAAACAACCAAGCTCAGAGAGCACCAGAGATCTCCCTTATTAATAATTAAACAGTTGAACTGATACTGCATATTGGAAACATTATGTGATTAAATACGTTATAGTTATTAAAGGTTAATTTCATATCTCTCAAGATTCCTATGTTCTCTCAAGATTCCTATGTGATACGGTCAGTCAAAATTCCATTTGTGTTCAATTTGAAGAGGGCTATCATAATGACCAAAATGTTTTCAGGAAACCAAACATTTGAAAAAAAAATGTTGTCAATGTTTTAATTTATGCTTAGTATTACTACCTGGTGGTTTTATTTTGCTTGAATAAAATTATTTCTTCTAATGAATATTAGAAATATGAACATTTCTCTCTCTTTTTAAAATAGAAGTAAATCACTCCCAAATGGGAAACAGAATGTGGGACACTAGTGATATATGTTACTAGCTATTTCCTAAAGCACTATGAACAGTTGTTTTCAGCACTTTTCTTTCTGTCTGACAAATGCTTGCGTATAACACAACATTTTGGACACTGTTTCAAGTAGCTCAATAAAATATAGTTCTTTAGTTATAATTTATTTGATGGGGCATCAGACATGGGTCAGGTAGGACTTACAGATAAATAAAAGTCACTGATAAAATTACTTTTATTGTTAGATCCAACTCTTCTGGTTACTTTTACTGGAGCAAACACTCTGCCTTCCAGAAGAACACAGTCACTGACCACTTCAGAGCCACCGAGTGTAACACCTGGTTTCTCTTCACCTGTTAGACCACAGTCTTCTCCCGTGATGTCACCGTCAATAAAAAGCCAACCTAGGTAAGAAGAAAGCAGTTTTTTAAGCCTGTTGTGAGTGTTGGCTTTGAGTTTGGCTTCTTCTTTGAAGCGTATCGTGCATGGTTTTAAAAAGGTTTGCTTTTATTATCTGAGAAACTGATTGTTGGCAGCTTTTTTTAGTTATCACTTGTAACAGAATTGTACTTGTGTGTGTACAGAAACTCAGAATTTGGGGATCATGGGAAATCACCATACAAAATCAGAATTAATTTCTGTTAAAAAATGTAATCTGTTCTACAGTAAAGGAACTAAATGCCTGGTTTCATTCTAAGGATAGGATGCCATTTTTATAGCATCTCAGGTTTAGTTGTTAGAATGAAATATCTACTCAGCCATAGTACTTGCTCATCTTTGAACAAATCATTGCCTACCCTACCAGATAGGGTATAGTAAAAATAAAAATTGAGTCGTCTATGTGCACCGAGCTGAGCCTTCTAAAATAAAGGGATAAGATAGGCAAGACGAGGAGAGGAGAGGATAAGATGAGATAACCTTTATTGTCACTTTTTATATAATATTACTGTATTAATGATTAAATAAATCAATATAATTTCCTTCTTTAATCAAGTAATTAAAATTGGCCTTGTAAAGATGGTATGTCTAGCGTACAATATTATTGTACTCTACAATATTATAATAATTAAATAACTGCTTTTACATAAACTTATAATCAAATATACACACTTTAATTTTTTTTAGCACCTGGAGCAGTAGTAGCTGGCATGGAAGAGGTAAAGGAGGATTGAAAGGCTTCCAGACATGTATGGCTTCTGATAGCAATATGAGCTTTGTTGAATTTGTAGAGCTCTTCAAGTCTTTCAGGTAAACTACTAGTTTATTCCACATAGGCAGATTCAGTTTACATAATTGAAAAATACATAATAAAAAATAGTCTGTATATTACAGCGTACGAAGCCGCAAAGATCTCAAGGATCTTTTTGATACATATGCCATACCATGCAATCGTCTGAGTCCTGATTCAGCTCCATTGTATACTTCCCTGAAGATTGATGAGAATACAAACGGCCTCCAGCCTGATTTAGGTAAAACTAAACAATGTGATAACAAATTGGTTTTAGATCTGGGTTGTCTTATGACAGAGTTGTAATTCCAATGCAGATAGTCCTTGCTTAATGAATGTGGTTGTAATGTGCAATGTCATATGAACACGTCACTTAGCAATGATAAAACTGGCAGCCCTGTTGCCATCATTAAGCAAAGATTGTAGATTGTTAAGTGAGGGCCTTACATCCCCAGTATTTGAAATTTCCTGGTTACTTCCAACAAACAATGGGGAAGCTGGCAGGAAGACAGAAGTCCCAGTCATGAGAAGCCTTTCTTTACGTGGTTTGCAAGCAGTGTGGAAGACAGGATGAGTGCTATGACCCAGTGTGAGTGGGTCCTACACTTGCCCTGCTGCTTGGGAGCTCCTCGAGAGAAAAATGGACAGCAGGAAGAGTAATTTACTGGAATGACTTGTGACCTCCTGCTGGTTTCCCCATTGACTTTGCTTGTGGAAGCTGATAGTGGAAGTTGCACATGATAATCATGTGACCGCAGGATGCTGCAACATCATAATTATAAACTGGGTGCCAAGTGCAACCAGTTTAGATTGTTATCATGACCATAGGAACACTGTTGTGGCTGCAATTGCCAGGACTATCATAAATCCTCCTTGCTCAGTACCATTGTAACTTTGAACAGTCGCTGGACAAACGGTCATTCAATGAGAATTATCTGTAATAATTTTGTATGCTTGTTGGCCATTTTTTTATTTTTTATATAGTGCAGCACAATGCATTGAGGGGTAAATCACACACTGTAACATTTTAATATTACCAATACATTTCCAAATCATGTAAATCATAGATTCAGTATTTTTTTTCAAATCATAGATTCAGCAAAATATTCTCCAAATATCACTGACTACTTAAAGACTGGAAAAAAGCAGCATGAGTATTCTACAAAAGTTCTGATCGTGTTTTTAATCTTTCAGATTTATTAACGAGGAACATAGCAGATCTGGGCTTGTTCATTAAGAATAGGCAGCAGCTGTCAGACAACCAGCGACAAATATCGGCTGCTATTGCTGCCGCAAGCATTGTTACTAATGGCACCGGAGTAGAGAGCACATCTTTGGGAGTATTTGGTGTGGGAATACAGCAACTGAATGATTTCTTGGTAAATTGCCAAGGAGAGCACTATACTTATGATGAAATCCTCAGTATTATTCAGGTAGGTAATGCAGACTTTTCAAATTGCATGCATTTAGCTAATTTGCTCTTCGTATTTTCACATTGCTTTTTAAGCCCTTCATGATAGTTTCTATGGGATGACACTTTGTGCCTCAAAGGCATAGCAAATGAAGTTTGACTAAATGAGAGTTGGTTAACCTGTCAACTTTCTAACCCAAACTTAGTGTTTTTAATATTTTAATTGATTATTATGGTATGAAAGTCAGCAGAATGATTTGGGGCTAGTCACGCTTCTCTCAGATCTAGGAGGAAGGCAGTGGCAAACCATTTCTGAAAACGTGGCCATAAACCTTCCAGAACTCATCCATGTAGCAATAGCAATAGCACTTAGACTTATATACAGCCCTCTCTAAGTGGTTTACAGAGTCAGCCTATTGCCCCAACAATCTGGGTCCTCATTTTACCGATCTCGGAAGAATGGAAAGCTGAGTCAACCTTGAGCCAGTGAGAATTGAACTGCTGGCAATCGGCAGCATTAGCCTGCATTACCGCATTTTAACCACTGTGCCCCCACGGCTCCTAGTTCCCTGGAGTCAAAATTGCCTTGAAGGCACTAATACCACCTTCCTCCCAATGTTCATATCATAGATGTACAGGGGACTGAAAGTAGTGATGTACAAAAGTTCAGTACTGATTCCTTATTTACTGTTTTTATCCTCCAACCTTTTCCTCTCTACCAGTTTCTTCTGGCTAGGTTTGAAGGCCAGAAATGGCTAAGACGAATGTTGTGGGAGTGGAGGGTGTTGATCTTGGCATGGTTGAAAATTGGCAAATGAGAGTTGTATTATTCTCTTCCAGTCTCTGCTTTTCTGCTTGATATTTATGTCTGGTGCTACCTTTCCCTTTTAAATGCCATGTTAACATACAGCTTCATTTGAAAACCCAGATCTGCCATTATCATACCTAATTAGCTGTGCCAATTGTGTATTGTATCTATTTATATGTAGAAACTGAATCAAAATGGATGTTTGTTACATCTGTTAATTTTCACCCTTTCCCTTTCTACCATTGCAGAAATTTGAACCAAGCATCAATATGTGTCAGCAGGGGCTAATGTCATTTGAAGGATTCACACGGTAATTATCTTTGGATATTCCAATGTACAGTCCAGATGCTTTATGTAACTATTATGAATTTTAAAAATCTGTATCTTAGGTTTCTGATGGATAAAGATAATTTTGCCTGTATGAATAATGAATCTCAAGAGAACATAGAAGATTTACAGTTTCCACTCTCATATTATTACATCGAATCTTCACACAATACGTATCTCACAGGACATCAGCTTAAAGGAGAATCTTCAGTTGAACTTTACGGCCAGGTATACAAAGTCAATCTGCTGTCTCCTTTCTTCTAAAAGTATTTGTTTATTTATTTGTAAAGTCAAAGAAGCATGACCTTTCACATGTTCCTAGTCGTGGCTTGTAAAACGTAGGAAAATAAGATGTGTGGGAAAGCGGTTTGTATGCACAGTTGTGCTCAGATGCTTTTTTTATATTTATATATTTATGCTTTGTTCTGAGTTTTCATTTGAGAGTCATAGAATTTAGACACTAGCCAGTCTGATCTAAACTGCTAAAATTAGACTTTCCCACAGGAAAGACTGAGCTAATATGTTGTTTCATGTAGATGTCAAGGCACCATTCAGAATAATATAACTTGTGCTAAAAAGATGATGAGTTTGTAGCAAAATTATTACTCAAGAGAATGTTGCTTCTAAGAATATTATATAATATTTTAGACATACTTTCCAAGCAAAGTGACCCAGATGAAAACATATTTTTCCAGGGATTCAGCTTTATTTGTGTGCATAATGAAGGTCCAGGATAGTTAAAAGAACTCTAGAACCATCTCACTTATTATGTGTAGATATTAATAAACACTTTGTTAGCATTGAATAAAATGCGTCCTGGTTTAGCTTCAATGGATACTTCCAGAGTACAGGTAGTCTTCGGTTGCTTTGTGACTACTCAGGGTTATGAAAGATCTATTTATGACCTGTTTTCGAAGTTCTGAGTGCCACATCTCCCCATGATCATGTGGTCCTATTTTAGGCATTTGGCAATCAGTTCACATTTACCTCTGTTTGCAGTGTCCCGTGGTCACATGACTGCAATTTTCGGCAGGTTTTGCTGGTTTCCAGGATTTATTTCCGGTTTCCAGCAAAAAAAAATCCAATTGGGGAAAATGTACTAGTTTAACAACTGCAACATTCACTTAATGACTACAATGTTCTCTTAAAACTGTGATGTTTGCTTAGTGACCACAGTGTTCGCTTAATGACCACTGCAAAAAAGATTGTAAAATCAGATGTGGTCACATTGTGATTCACTTAACAATCGCCACAATTTAGGACCAGGCTCAATCACAATAATAAATCGAGGATTACCCATAACAGTTTTTGGAACTATCCGTCAAATGAAATTGCACAATTATTCTCTTTTTCTCTTTCTTTTTCTCTCGCCCATTAATTGTCTTAAAATAAAAGATGAAATTAGCTCTGGGGAAGCATTTAGAAGCATCCTTGATGTGCGTGCCAAAAGAAGATGCATGCACCCATCCCAAACCAAAGTTAATTTCCACATTTATTTTTCCAGGTGTATTTAAAATCTATAATATGGGAATTTATTTCTAAAATAGAAGAAGCTCATAAAACATAATCTGATTTACATTTTGTTTATGTCTGTAATGGAAAGTTTTGCTGGGACCTATGAAAAGATGGATGGTTTAGAATGATACAGTAAAAGAAATTTTGCATAGAGCTAGTAAATTTCAAAAAAGGAATAACCTTGTCCTTGCTGTATCTTTAACAGCTTCTTTTGTTCACAGAACAAAAGCATGCTGATTGGATAATTCTGAGAGTTGAAGTCCACATATCTTAGAGTTGCTAAGACTGAGAAACACTGTTATAGGATCATTACATTATCATGCTTTTCTGTATTACAGATTTTATTACAAGGTTGTCGGAGTGTGGAATTAGACTGCTGGGATGGTGATGACGGCATGCCTGTAATTTATCATGGACATACACTTACTACCAAGATAGCTTTTAAGGTATATGTAGTTTATAATAATAGAACAGAACAGAACAGAACATATATCATATATCATATATATCATATATCATATAATTAATATCATATCATATATACAATAAATTAATTTAACAGAAGAGTACTAACCTTCTTGAGGCATATGAGATCAAAACCTTTGAAATTGTGATTATGACTGTGCTTTAATCAGAAGACTTTCAAACTAATTTAAGTTTCCCTAAACTTTGCATTCCTCTTTTGGTTTAGAGTCAGCATACTAAGATTTCCTTTAGTAATTTGTGGGACAAAGTATTGTGCATGTTAATTGTGATTCGGGAATGCTGTAATTCTGATTGTTTTTTATTATTACAGGAAGTAGTTGAAGCTATTGATCGTAATGCTTTCATTACTTCAGATAATCCAGTTATCATATCTATTGAGAATCATTGTTCTTTGCCACAGCAACGAAAGATGGCTGACATTTTCAAGGTGGGTTACAAGACTATATTCATGTCAGATTTAACAAGCCAAGCTATTAACATAATCATTAATACATATACAATTCCTTTTCTCCTATGTTTCCCTTTTTATATTAGCAAATATGTAAGAAATTGCAGTCAGTTACTATCTTTTTACTGTATCCTTACAAGGATACTGTGAATAACGGCTTCCCAATAAGAGAGGATTTGAAATTAACTTTTAAAACATAGCTTTAAATGTCACAATGGCTCAGTGGTTAAAGATACTGAGTTCAAGATCTGAGCATGAGTGATGCGGTGAGCTCCCGTTACTTGCCCTAGCTCCTGCCCATCTAGTAGTTCAAAAGCATGCAAATGTGAGTAGATAAATAGGTACCACTTTGGTGGGAAGGTAACAGGTTTTTGTGCGCCTCGGTATATAATCATGCTGGCCACGTGACCATGGAAAAGGGTCTTCAGAAACCTTTACCATTACTTTTTTGCATCTTTGCTTGCTAGGAAAATAACAACAACAACAACAACAACAATAATTTTTATGGTTTGGACAAAAACAAAACCCTCCTTACCGCATTTTTAGGAAGTCATAAACTATTTCGTCTCAATCAGTTCAATTGATTATAATTGGATGAATTGATTTGTATTTTTAATCTTATTATATAAATGCTGTAGGGTACTCAGAGCATATCAATTTGCATAATAAATTGTATAGAAATAAACAGTATATTATGGTTAACTGCAGAGTCCTAACTTTATTGCCATGAGTTGTTGAATATCAGAAGGGTGGCAAATAAATTTCATAATAAATAAATAAATACTCAAGCAAAAAAAGGACTGAATTTATTTTATTTTTATTTTTATTTATTTACATGGATTTATATGCCGCCCTTCTCCCTATAGGACTCAGGGCGGCTTACAGCATATTA